ATAAATTTTATATATATATATATATATATATATATATATATATATATATGTATATGTATGTATGTAAAATGATACTTAGATACTATTAGACTTGAGCACCTTTCTGTAAGATTGTTAACAAACTTGTATTATAAAACAAAGTTCCTTACCAAACAAGTATAATAGCACAAACTATTTAATGACTAAAGATTTAAAATGAAAATTGTAGCTTTACTAAAATAGTGGATTTCGCAAAATTGTTACAGTTCTTCATATCATATGTGAACTGACTATCTGGATATTAATTTTCCATAATGAATATTTTAAAATTGTTTATGAAAAGAATGAAGAAATTTAATAAAGTTAATCAAGAAAGTGAATAAATACTGAATAATAAATCCACTGAAATCTTAAGATTAGTCTTTACCTGAATTTCTGAGATGAGGAGTAATTATTTACAATGTTTATATTTGGACTATTTTCCTCATCTTTGTAATTACAATGTTTCAGCCTTTGTGCTCTCTGGCCTTCATCAGGTTCATATCAATCTGGGTAATAAACAGGGAATTCTGAACTGAACCCTTTATTTACTCCATGGGAATACACTGTTCTCATTCCACTGCTCATGTCTAGGGGTCTCATCTAATTCTTATTTAGTACTGTTCAGTTATTGCTTGCAGTCTCCATTGAGGGCAAATACACACTTCCCAATTTGAGCTCAATCACTATGCCACCAAATTCACAAATCAACTCTTTACTCTACTAGGCCACTATCCTGTAGATTAGTATAAACTAAATGTTTTTAATGAAATAAAAAATAAACTGGAAAAATATTTGATCAACTGATTTTATCAGATTGATCAATCGATAAAATGGAATAATTAAAAAAAATAATGAAAAGGAAACTAAAAATGTAAGAAATTGGTAAAGAGAAAAAAGACATTTTTCCAGATCTGAGATTAATGGAATTTTCTCATTCTTTTCATAAATAATTTTTAGACATTATACAAAATATTCAATCTGCTCCAACATGAATTCTATCAAATTCAACATTTTAGTTAATCTACCATATTTGTTGTAAATCAAGTTATTAATTAAATATTATGTGGCAAATAATATAATGCTGTATTAAATTGAGCAAGTTGATCAGAATTGTCCCAGCATACTAGCTTTTTGTGACAATATGTTCAAAATACTATATAATACAAGTGTTGCTCTGAATGTATTACCTCTTATTTTATTGTGTGTGCTATGAGAGGCAGATGTTGATAGTATAGCAATAGATGTTGAACCTTCTTGTGATTAACCAATATCTTGTTTTTTGCCTTGTTACAGGTAACAGTTTGGCAAAATGATATGTGACATGAAAGTACATGCAAAGTATAGGTGTGAAATTGAAGTCTTATGGATGAAAAATACCTGCACCCACTGACACTTGACAAATCACAGAGACCATTCAGTGGATGCGGACACAGTTAGGTGGTAAGTAATGTGACTCAGCAGAGGTGACTGCAATGATGTGTTTCACAAGCCATGTCCCAGATGGTATTATGTTCAAAGACCAATCCATGAAATGAAGAGTGCTTTGAAAATACTTGAGCCAATGTTAGCGGAAAGATAAAAGGAATTATATGGTGAAGGAATAGAGTTTCATTTCAAAGCAATTTTCTTAGTTAATGTCACTACTGACAATAATTTGTATGTTTAATGTCAATTTCAAGTTGAATTAAATAAGATGAAATTTTATGAATGTATATATTTCTTTCTAGCTGAAAACTGTCTATTGAATGATGTTATTCTCTCTGTATCTGTTGCCGTTTCCATGGAAATAAATAAGAGGCATTCATTTTGGAGCATCCCCTTGTATATTAGCATCTACTTGAGCTGGCAGCATGGGATTTATTAGTGTCAGTTGTATGGAACTTACTTGAAGTTCAGAGAGCTGAAAACTATGCTGATTTAATAAATAACATGCTGACAGCATATCAAAGAAAAGGATGCCGATGTCTCTTTAAAAGCACTTCTGGGATTCTCACCTTGATTCCCCATGTCATTCTCCCAATGGATTTGGTTGCTATAAGTGATGATAAGAGTGAAAGGTTCCCCCATGACATATCAGAGATGGCATTGAGGCTTAGTTCAGCCAAAACAGAGCTGGTGGTAATTACTTTCGTTTCCTACAACTGAAGACAAGATCAATACGTGCAAGAAAAAACATTTTTCTAGTGATTTTATATTTGGCTATTTCCCATCATTATCCAAATTTTTATTCTACTTTAATATATTGTTTACTAATATTTACCTTGAATATAAATATACCATATGGACAAGGTCGGATTATGACCTTTTGCAGTCCCTTTCAGATAAAGCCACTAACTCATAGGCACCATTGTTGAATATTTTTACTCTTGCTATATTTTAGTAGTATTTATATGGTGTTGTATTGTATGGTAATAGTGTGTTGAGATTAGGAGAGACACCTAACTGATTGCTCTCCCCACAACTACAGGGGGTAATAGGCAGAGAGGGGAAAGAGTAACAAAAATAAAACTGCCTCGGAAATGATAGCAACTTTAGGCATAAAATGCTCACAGGATTGACTTTACAAGATACTGTGTCTTGCCAACTGCTGACTGTTGGTTTACCTGTTGCTTTTATTAGCATGAGTCATCTTACAAAGACCCAGATCTTGACCAGTTCCAGAGAGGCCTGTATCTAGACATGCCAAGCTGCTAACGGGGGAGGGGGTTAGCCTGGATGTAATTGGTGTTGACAAACATGTCTGATTGTGATCCAGGGCCTTTTTGTCTTTGTACAGATGTGTGTTTACCACACATTGTTTGAAGTAAACTTATTGCAAGTTCTTTAAATAAACTAGAATAGCTATCTTTTGTTTGTCTATAAAAATATTCTTCAAGAAATACCTTCACTATTTACTATTTATTGCAAACCAAATTAACAAATATTTCCACACGACCATAATAAAAAAAAAAAGATTTTTTTTTTATAATCAGCATTATAACAATAAAACAATCAAAATAAATACAAGTTTGTCATATTGATATCATTTCAGTTTATGAAACTATTCAGAAATTATAACATTTAGAAAATTAAAATCACTGCTTTATAAAAATTTCAAAGATTTAAGCATTTTGAACTAAAAAAAATGCTTGAGAGAGGCCTATTAGGATAACCCAGTCATGCATATAGAATACTAATATACTGTTACTGTAATATTTACTTTGAGTTTTAATAATATGCATATTTCTTGGAAATGACATGCTAGGACAAGATTCAGAAGCTAAGAAACATGTATTTACTCTTGCAGCAAAATCTTTGATGCCCAGTGTATTCTGTTAGATTGTACAACAAACTACAAATAATTTTACAAGCTATTATTTGAAGAAGCAACATACTGATATTTCAAATATATCCAGAACTAGAAATGAATATTGTTGTGTTAGATCTACATAGAAGCTAATTGCATTTAAATCAGCAGCAGGAGGCTCGTCACCCCTGCTGGTTAAAAGTGGTTCAATCCTGGAGCTGTATTTAAGATCTGCCAATTTCTCATAATTTTTTTTTTTAAATATATTTAAATAAGAAATTGCTGGTGTTATTCCTTTCTTTTGGATTTTGCTTCTGCTCTTACATTTGGGCATAATGGAAGCATGCTGGGCTCATAAACCAAAGGTCTATGGATTGGAACTACACTCTGCTACCAAGCATAAGAGCAGATATAAAATTCAAAAGAAAGGAATAACAGTAGCAATTTCTTGTTCAAAGTGACAAGGCTTCACCAGGCACCTGATACAAAAAGCTAACAAAAGAGAAATTGGCAAAGCTTAAATACAGCTCTAAAACTGAACCATTTTTAACCAGCAAGAGTGCCAATCCTCCTGCTGCTGATTTAAATGCAGTCAGATTCTATGGAGATCTAACAATTGTCATTCTATTAAATCTCAAGAGTGTAAAAAACCTAGCATCAGATCAAAATTGAACTTGGAGCTTTTGTTTGAACTGAAATAATAGAAAATTGGATGCCAAGACAAAAAGTGTGTCACTGAATCACACAAGTAAAATTTAGTGAAATGCAGAAAATTCATGAATATTTGTATATCTTAAACTAGAAGAATCAATCCAGATTAAGTTTTTGGGATTATTTTGGCATTTTCTTTTCATTTATAATAACTAAACAAAAAATAAATTGCTAAAGTTTTAATCACAAACAAAACCTTTTATATTTTTTCTATATACACAAACAACTTGCATAATATAATATTTTGGTTTTCTACAAGCAGAAGCAACTTGTACAATATTTTTAAACACTGACAATTAAAAATAAACAAAAAGCAAATTGAGTTTGAGGAAAATGCTACATTTTGTGGTTTAAAATATTTTTTAATAAAAATCTAAAAATCCTTTAAGCTAGAAAGCCCAAGAAAGGAATTATATGGTGAGGGAACAGATTTTCATGTAAAATCAATGTTCTCAGTTATTTATGTCACAACTGGCAACAATCAATGTCAAGACAAAATAAGATGAAAATTCATGAAATGTACATATTTCTTTAAAATATAAATTCTAATTATCATCATCACATTTATTACAAGTTTTCAGATGGTGTGTATGTAACAAAAATTAATTTTATCAAATATACAACTCCATTAGTATAATTTATCTTCTTAGAAGATTTTTTTAAGTGCCTATAGGTAACTTATATTCACTTTGTTGGTTGAATTTACTAAAAAACATTTACTCAAATTCTTGCTGCCTAAATATATTTCTTATGACTATAAATATCATTTTTAGTGGATACATGTATTTAAGCTGCTAGCCATTTTTTTTTTCTTAAACAGTTAAATTAATAACAACCAGGCGAAATTGAGAAATTCTACTAATGTCTCAAAACTGAATTAAATCTTTATCTTCTTTTCCAACTGAGAAAATGCTTCTATAGACAAAATGAGCCATAACCAATTTAACCATGGAACATGTGTTTTTTGGTTTTTTTTATAGTTTACAGCCATATCATGTTGAAACACCAGTTCTCATTCGATCATGAAAGTTAAGCAACACTGAGCCTGATCAGTACCTAGATGGGTGACTTCTTGGGAATACCAGATGCTGCAAGCTTGGATCAGTAGGTGATGTAATGAATAACAGCACAGAATGAGAAACTGTAGTTCTGAGTTCAAATTCCAGTTGTGTTCATTACATTCACTTATGCACAAATACTCTTGGGAAAGATATGAATCTGTTTCTTCTCGCCCAGCTACAAGTTGTATAGTAAGACAGACTGGGACCTATAGCCTTGGTTGGCAATCAGCCTGGAAGCAGTTAACAAAGGGCAGATGAGATTCTTGTAGGTGTCAATGGCTAGAATGCATGTAGGAGATGAAAAACTACCCAAAAAATTCTGCAATTGTAGCATCATCTGACATGTAGCACATAGCGTACCAATACAGTACATGGTGCTAAGATGGAGAGAATGTGCATAGCAAGACACAAGCAACTGACCACTTTAAATAATTCACTTGTGCAGGTTATTCAGTAAAATACACATCGATATATAGACTCTTGTTGATTTTGATATATAAGTGGCCAACATCTAAATCTGCTCATGTGTTTATGCCCAACATGACATTTGTGTCCTACCAGTGATTTACTGACAACCCCACAAATGGTGCAAGAGTAAAGGCTTTGAGAAAATGTGGGTGGTAATGATGATGTTTCTACTTTTGTCCTTGCTTATGCTTTCCTCAAACGTTGAAGATGGCCAGTTTCAAAGTCACTGAAACAACTCTCTCCATGCTTTACAATCCTAGGCCACCTACTCAAAGCTCATACATAGGAGTGCTCTTCAGTTTGGCATTATGCCTAAGAAATACCCTACCTACATTTCTTTTTCCAAAGTGAAGCTGACTATACATGAGGACTTTAGATACCCTGTTGCCACTTGTGACATGATGAGCTACCTTATTTGCAATTGCATGAGAAAAATCTCAATGACTTCAATTTTGATCTTAGTGAAAAGGACAGCATTTGATATTTTGTTTTCAAGAGTATACCCTCCCCAAAAAAAAAACCAAAAAAACAAAATATATATATATATATATATATATATATATATATATATATATATAGTGGACTCTCTTGTCAATGGATGACAAATGAGGGCTCAGTAAAATAAAGAAATGCTCCACACATGTGTCTCTCGATGCCTGCAGGTGTTTTGCAAACTTTTTATACAAAGGAACATATGGTTAACCCACTTTCATCTAGCGGTTGATGATCAATTGCCATACGTTTCTACAAGTGGACAGCAAGGCCTACTTTACTGCATGCAACAAATTGGTACAGTGGCAGGTAAGGTTATCATTGTGAAGAGCAGCATACTGCCAACTTTCTTTAATATTTTCATGCAGCTGAATCTAATGTTAAAGTCATCCTCACTCAAACCTTTGTATCGATGAGAAGCAGAATAGGCACCCAGCTCCTTTGCTCTGATGTTTTGTTTTCTCAGGAAGGAAAGGGAATGCTGCATCATTTCAGATCATCTTTGTCTGTCTTTGTAATGCACAAGTGGACTTTCAACTGATCTGCTTGTTAGAAGCTGGCCAAAGAGAAGATGATTTGGAAGTGTGCTATCCCTCATACAAGAAAGATGTCCTGACCACCTGAGTTGGATATTCATTAGAATGGCTTCAATACTATTTATGTTGCATTTAGTTAGATCTTCCCTGTTTCTAAAGCACTCAATCAGTTTTCTGTCGCAGATCGGCAATACATGTGTAAGGCATCAAGTTGATTGATGTGTTGTCAGTACAGAGTCCATGATTCTGCACCACAGAGTAGTGACGACAGTATTACTGACAACACAACAACAATTTTCTCCTTTAATGAAACATCACGGGTTTTCCAAAGCCTGTGATAAAGATTACTGAAGGCAGAACTAGCCTTTCCAAACCTGCACTATTTATTTGTCCATTTTTGCATCTTTGGATACAATGGAGCCAAGATAGATGAAAGAGGAAACAGTTTTCAAGATTTTCCCATTAACATAAACGGTGGAATCAATATATAAGGAGTGTTATTCCTGGTTAGAATCCATGAAATGTTAAAAAGGCTCTCTGCTTTATATTTTTTTGTAAACAAAAAATAGCAAATGTTACTCTTATTTGTCTTTTCTACATAGTATTTTTTTTTCCTTTCAGTATTTGATTGATTTTGCCAATGTGATCAACTCCTAAGAATTTCTGACAGTTCCATACTTATGCCATGGGTGAAAAAGAGGGAACCAGTCTGTGTATTTAAACTTATCTGGTTACATGACTTGGGATTCAACGGCTACAGCTCTCCCCTTCCAGCTTGAAACAACAAATGACATCTTTCTCTCTCCAAATGAAATCATCAACTACTTTGCAACTCAAATTGGCAGCTTTTTCATAAAATCACACACCAACTTGGCAAGATGGTGGATCAACAAAATCAAATCAGTAATTTCATTTTCATGAGGTTTTCTTTGTACCCAAATGCTTTTCAAAAACACATTACCTCTAGTCTAGTTTGAAAATGCATTTTCTAAAATCTTTCTCATGATAAAAAGATTTCCTTGAAATCAATACAAATTTCACAAGGTCGACAGTTTAAATAACTGGGGATGATTTTTGCCCTGGAATCAGTCATGTGACAAAATCCACACCTATCTTGGTTAGGCACAGGGATTTACCAATTGTAATCAATCTTACTAGATTCCCTCAAGTTAAATTCAAATCAAATCTCATGAGAATCACAAATCCAATTTCATTTATCAGACCTAATGAACTTTTTAAATTATTTTTCTTCCATTTTTGGACTTCATGATAAGGGTAGTGAAAAAAAAACAAAAAACCAAAAAAAAACAACACAAACAAACAATTTTTCTTGATTCTATGATACTAAAACCTGTCCAATGATATTTACTCTCCAACAACTGACCACTGCCAAGCTTCTCTTGGGGATCTATTCACCATTTACAAGTGAAAACATTACACATCTTGTAACACACAATTCACTGAAGTATAAGTTCAACAATGTCTTTGAACAATTTGATAATTCCCTTATTGAGGAATAACTGATCAGAGTATTTCATGAGATTCTGAAAGCAATATTCAAGTGTCTTGAGATATAATGAGTCTGTAACTTGTTATATGTTCAATTTATGTAGCTGGTGATGGGCTGGTCCCCCAAAACCATTGAAGGGGCTAGTTTTACCGAAAATGACCCTCATCTCCTGTAGATTCAAACATCATCCATGAAGACAAAAATGGCAGCTAGCAAGGTAATAGTGGGACAAGATACATCAGACAACCTCCCTTGCTAAATCATACTGAAAAACAAAGAGCTGAAGAAAAAAAAAAAAATCTCTACTCTGTAATGTTAGCATCTCCACCAATGACCAGGCTCTTTCTTGCAGTTGGTGTGACAAAGAATGTTTCTTCCTTATGGGCCTCGCTATCCTAGCCTGCAATCATCATAGACGATTATTCAAGGTCTTCGCTTGTAAAGCTCAGCCATGATGATAAACAGATCCTAAAATTAACTATTTTAGTTTTACATTTACCAGTTTTAAGAATTGATAGTTAAAAATAAATCTTTTGGGCATTATCTCTAATTTATTCAAGACTACAATGTGTTGAGTAATAAATGACTGAGTTTATTTTGGCATACAGAAAACATGACAGCCAAAATTATTGACACAGCAAGCAGCAAAGAGAAACTAGATGAGGAGTGAGTTAACACTCAATCTATTGATTAGTTTGAAAGTTTCTTTGCCATTTTAAAACTTGCCAAATTTTGATATTTACATTAGTGCGTGTGTGGTGTGTATGCCACTTTTCCTGATTGAAGATAATTTCTTTGTCTTAAATTAGATCAATTTCCCATTTACACGTATCTTCATGTTTCATTCTAATTTTTTATCATTATTAAAATGTTTTAGACTGGAGACAGCTGTTGCCTTTGGCCAATTTATACTAATCATTACTTGTCAATGGAATCATTTTAAGATTCAGTCTCCTACCATTTTTTTGATTATTGTTATCATTATCTATATTTAACACTAAGTGATCAAAATATCAAAAGACTGAATAGTAAACATCATGTACAACCAATTAATATAATTGGTTGGACATTTGCTGCATTCAAATCTTTTAGTTTTTTGCATAGATCATCATATATTTTATTAGGAGTCTAAAAAAGAATAATAATAAAAAAACCATTTACATTGTTCGGACTGTTGTCCTCATCATTTTCATGCTTTGGCCATTGTACATTCTGGCCTTTTTCAGGTAATATATGTTGGAATTTCAAACTGAAACTTTATTTAGTCTACGGGGAGAGAGAGATTGTTCTTGTCACGTGTCATAGTTTTCCTGGATATCTCAGTTTTCAGTTAATTCCGTTTAGTCACTCAACTCTTCAAGGTTTTGTTTATTGAACTCACAACTCTTTGGGTCAAGTCACTTTTTAGATTACTTCAACCAATACTTTTATCCACTGGGCCATGTGTCCTTGTGGATGGGGACAACAATATAAATAGTTTAAGTAGTTACAATACCTCATCTTAGAAATATAGACAGATAAAAAAAAACATTGATTAAATTTCCCTCTCTCTTACACACACAACAAACATTTAGAAAATATGTATTTGTAAACTAAATGCAGTACAGACTATTGTACAGAATTTTGTTAGGAAATGTGCCAGGTTTGCTGTGTAGAAATCCAAAGGAACTTCTCTGAAGTAGACACTAGACAGTACATTTAAAGGTAAATGATAAACAAAATTCATGGTCAAATTCCTGAAAATTTTCTACTGCACTTCACATATATAGATATATATGATAAAAATATAAGGTATGCTATATTTATATTAGGGTAAAAGTGCTCAATATTAGGGATAGAGCATCTGTAAATATAAAAGTGGACACTGAGGTCAACACTGAACAGCAACAGTCTGTTTCAGACTTGAACACAATCTTCAGGTCATGTGTTTTTGGTACTGGCTTGACTATATATGCTGATCAATCGTATACTATGGGTAGCAAGGTCTATTGTATTATCCTACTAATTAATTAATGGACACTAATGGTT